TCTGGGTGACCTTGGGGGACACCACAACATTTTACAGCCTTGGGTTTCTGCCCTAGGAAACATAGAGCACCTCCAGGAGTATGGTGACCTTCCTTGGCTGTGAGGGGTGCTGACGCCATGGCTTAGAGTCTGTTATGACTCAGAGAACAGAAAGGGTGACCCTTGGGCTCAAGGCTACCATGGTTTCTGCTCTCTCTCTCTCCCTCTCCTGTCTCTCTTCTCTTTAATACATCTTTGCCTCATCCTGCATGTCTGACATCCGCCACTCTGTGCCCATCCCTCACTCTTGGTTTCCTCTCTCTGGATCTCTCTTTCCCTTCCTCCTCCCTCTCCCCCTCTCCCCCCCCCCTTCCCTTCTCTCCTCTCTAGATCTCTGTCTGCCTGTCATGTCTGGTCCAAGTGTTTTCCTTCCCTTGTGGCTCCAGTCTTAGAAACCCTACTACAGCTCAAGGCAGCATAAAGCTGGGCCCCAAATGAACAAAGGTAAGTTGACTGCTAGTCCCCACAGAGCCTCTCCAGATGAATGGGGCAGGGGACCCAGGGAGGCAGAAATTACTGGCTCTACAGTGCATATCTCTGAGCAAGCTTGTTCAATAGGCCACCTATGTGCCCATGCTTGCTCCCTTACAGTTAGTTTTATCTGTGTTGTTTATCTTTGGGCCCTGATGCTACTACTTAACATGATCCTATGACCCTATGGCCCTCACATACACTCCCACGGGACTCAGATTGACACGAGTCAGCATGGTCCCATGAGACTAAAGAAGTCATCAGACTCAACTGTATGGCTATTAGGAGACTCACACTGTCACACAATTCCACACACATCAGCTCTGCATGGCTCTAAACAGATTCCAGCCCTATAACACTATACATCACAGAGAACTGTTATTTGGGTCCCTTACTCTCTGGATCTCTGCCTCCCTCCTTCTACCTCTTATACTCTAACACAGTTTTTCCCATCAGGACCCAGAGTGATCATATTCTGTCTGCAAGGCTCCAGAGCTCAAAGAACCCAAAATAACCTGGGTCCTAGAAGCACAAATCCATACACTCTTCTATGCCTCCCTACATAACTTCTGTATGTGCCTACGCAGCCACTCTTAACAATGGAGCCAACATGGCCCTAGGGGCCTCAAAGCCACATAACTGGTCATCATACACTTGAATGAGACCCCACATAGACCCAGGAAAGGCACAACTTATGACAGGCCTCTTTCAGTGCTACCCATAGGGGCCCCTGGAAGTTTGTACAACTGATGGGGAACCCCTGGACTCAACCCATATCCTGGTCATTCATGTCTACTTAAGGCCCCCCAGGAGACACCACGTGACACAAATCCACATCCAGTCTCTGTTCCTCAACCCAGCACGTGCCCTGCAGTCCCTCCCCCCCCACTGCTTCCTGAAGGCCCCAGCCATGCCTCACACCTCGGTCACCATGTGTTTTCCAGCAGGGGGCCAGAGTGGTGGTAGGAGTTCCGGCACCTCAGTGTCCACTAGCCCCCCATTAGCTTTGCCCTCCAGTGTGACGCAGGGCTGTGTGTCCACATGGCTGTACATCCCTGCCTCTTCACCCTCTGTCTCCCGATGGTAAAAGTAGCTAAAGTTGGAGACGATGACAGGTACGGGCAGAGAAATGGTGAGCACCCCCGCAATGGCACACAGAGAGCCCACGATCTTGCCACCCACAGTGACGGGTGCCATGTCTCCGTAGCCAACTGTGGTCATAGTGACCACTGCCCACCAGAAGGACTCCGGGATGCTGGTGAAATGGGTGTCCACCCGGTCTACTTCAGCAAAGTAGACTGCACTGGAGAAGAGGACCACACCGATGAAGAGGAAGAAGATGAGGAGGCCTAGCTCACGCATAGAGGCCCGAAGCGTCTGACCCAAGATCTGTAGGCCCTTCGAATGCCTGGATAGCTTGAAGATACGGAAAACTCGTACCAATCGGATGACCCTTAGGATGGCCAGGGACATAGCTGGCTGACCTACACCCCGCTGCCGGGCTAGCTCTGTGCCCAGTGCCACAAAGTAAGGCAGGATGGCCACGAAGTCGATAAGGTTCATCACATTCTTGAAAAATATGGCTTTGCTTGGGCAGGCCACCAGACGCACCAGCAGCTCAAAGGAGAACCAGCAGATACATAGGGTCTCCACCACAAAGAACGGATCACTGAAGGGCAGACGGGAAGGAGCACCTGGCATGGAGCTGGAACCATTCAGCCGAGCAAGGAACTGCAGAGGGGACAGAAAGGGGTTACAGAAACAGGCCAACACCCTTAGTCACTGTCAGTTTCAAAGTACCAGTTCCCAAGGATCCGACTGTCCTATACAACCCAGGACCCTAGGAGCTGTCTTTGGATAGCCAACTTTCTGCTCTTCAGACCTACATACAAAAATGTCGTGTCTCCTGGGCCTGGTGATACAAGCCTGTCATTCCATACTCAGGAGACTGATGCAGGAGAAGTAAATTCAAGGCAGAGCTAGTGAAATTCCATCTTAAAATAAAAAGTGAGGGGCTGGAGAGATGGCTCAGCAGTTGAGAGCACTGGATGCTCCTCTAGAGGACCTGGGTCAATTCCCAACACACACATGGCAGCTCACAACTGTCTGTAATTTCAGTTTAGGGGGTCCATGGCACCAGACATGCATGTGGTGGACATATCTGTGCATGCAGGAAAATGCCCATACACATAAAATAAAATAATGTTTAAAAATACATTAAAAAATAAAGAGGGCAGCCAGGCATTGGTGGCGCACACCTTTAATCCCAGCACTTGGGAGGCAGAGGCAGGTGGATCTATATGAGTTTGAGGCCAGCCTGGTCTCCACAGCAAGTGCCAGGATAGGCTCCAAAGCTACACAGAGAAACCCTGTCTGGAAAAAAATAAAGTGAAGAGGGCTGGGATGTAGTTCAATGACACAGTCCCTGCTTAGAACCCCTCTAAGAAGGGTTAGGGGTGTAGGGGTGTGGATCGGTGATAATGTTCCTGACTAGAATCCCCCAGTGAGGGGCTGGTGGTGTGGTTCAAGCATTATCCAATGAGGGTCTGGGGGCTTGGATCAGTGAGAGTATCTGCCTAATGTCCTAGATTCCACCACAGTACATCAAAAATTAAAACAAGGCCAGGAGCCATAGAACGCACTTTCAGCCATAGAACTCAGAAGGCAGAAACAGTTGGATCTTTGTGAGTTTAAGTCCATTCTTGGTCTATATAGCAAGTTCCAGACCACACTGGGCTACATAATGAGACCCTTATAACTTATTTTTCCCATATTAATATTTTTTTAGTAATTAAACCAAAATACAGCCTCTTTCACTGGTGGGAACTCCTGATCTTATGGTTGTTTGGGGAGAACCATTCCTTCCGGTATTTTGCCCACTCCCCAGTGTTGAATCACCAAGGCGGTGCTCTGCTCTGGCTCTACCTTCCGCTGCATGCCTCATCTTTCCCGTTGTCTTCAACCCAGCCCAGACTATAATGGTTCAGAATGGTTATATATTTTGCGGTATGGCCCTCAGCTCCACCCCCCCAGCCTGATTCTGTGCAAATTGCCGCTCAGTCCCACACAGCAACCTGCCATGCTCAGCTCCAGCTCCTTCACTGTTGGCCCTGGCCTGATAGTTCATCTTTCCTATCTCTCTGCCAGATGCACAGACACTGCAGTCTCTTTGATCCCACATGCTCATTTCACACTGTTAGAGACGGACCTCGGGGCCTTGCACATGCGTGGCAAACTGTTCTCCATTGTTCTCCAGCCCCTCACTAATGGATTTTTAGCAGGAGCTCTACACCGAGCCAAGATCCAAGTTCCTCTAGGCAGAGACTCAACCACACCCCTCACTGGGCTACTTTTTTTTTTTGGTTTTTCGAGACAGGGTTTCTCTGTGTGGTTTTGGAGCCTACCCTGGCGCTCGCTCTGGAGACCAGGCTGGCCTCGAACTCACAGAGATCCGCCTGCCTCTGCCTCCCGAGTGCTGGGATTCAAGGCAACGCCCGGCTTTTGGGCGACTCTTTAAACTTATTTATTTTATGTGATTGGGTGGTTTGCCTGCATGTATGTCTATGCACCACGTGTGTGCCTTGGTGTTCAAGGAACCCAGAAGCCGGCATCAGATCCCAAGGAACTGGAGTTTCAGATGGTTGTGAGTCACCATGTGGGTGCTGGGAATTGAATCTAGGTCCACAGTCAGTGCTTTAAACGGCTGAGCCGTCTCTCCAGGTCCCTCTCAGTGTGGTGGTAGGCAGCAGCTCTCCACTGAGTCCCACAAACCCCAACCCTTCACTTTGTGCTCAGGCAGAAGAACTACCACTGAGCACATCCC